CCCCCCCCCCCCCCCCCTCTCCCCCTCCCCCGCGCCCCCAATAATCTCATGGAAATACAATTTTTCAGAGAAACTCACCGAAAAAAAGTGAGAGAGGACAGGAGACGAGACTGTTCAATTCCTGTATTTCTTCCATTTTCATTTTTGCTCGGGCTATGCTAGCAAACGAAAAATACAAGGGCACCATAATTAAACATGTAGATCCAGAGAGATGGCAAAATAAGGCATATAATAAATGGCATACATTACCAGTACGAGATACTGCTCATAATAATAGAAAAAATCGGATATGTTATGATAGGCCCGACCACAGAAAAGATCCCCATGCAGGCGTTTTTGGTTTGTTGGTCGAAATATCGGCTGAAAAAAAACAAAGAATCAATGAACAATCATTTATGTTATCTTTAATGTCAAAAAGTCAGATTAACATCCCCCCCCCTCCCCCCTCACTGTATTCGCTCTTAATAAGAGCAGGAGAAATGAGGGAGATTCGAAATTTGCAAGAAACCTAAAAAAAGCACCAAAAATTTATTTTTTTTCCCGACGCCTAAACATAAAATCACTGGATCAGTACGGTGTCAATCCACAATATGAATCAGAATCGAAGACTACCCATACACCATAAGAATCTACTGGAACACCTACAATGGAATTATGGGGATAAAAGAAGCTCAAAACAAAAAAAGAATGGAAAAACTGTCAAAACTATCAATGGCGAGAAGAATCACTGTAATAAAATAGAAGCTGATTAAAGTAATAAAATAAAAAAATCGTTGAAAAGAGACTGAAATAATTACCTTGTGCCACTTGGTTAAGCAACTTGACCTCATCGCTGGTCAATTTCAGCATTGTTTCCAGCACTGGTATCAATTGACCACGTTCATCAGATACTTTTTCGGGTGCAACAAACTAAAACAAACTTCATTTTCGCTCATTCAAAGGAATTTCTAAAAAATCAAGGTAAAAAAAATATTGCGGCGTAGACAACTCCAGCATGTTACCGACATGAAACTTAAGAACTCTGACCTTCATGATTATATTTTTCAAATATTCGGTATTGGTTAAATGATTTTCACGTTCCCTGTTACGCTCCAACCGACGAATTTCCTCTTTCAGCAATTTTGTTTGCTCCAACAATCGTGCATTCGTTGCTTCACTTTCATTCAACAGCTCTCGGGTATGCTCCAACTAAAATTAGCAAAATTTTTGTCCTGTAAGGCTCTGTACATTTCAGATTTTAATATTTTTATTATTTTTACCCCAAAGTATTTTTATTATACTCCAAAATGCCAACTAGGACCACAGAGCATATTCAGTTTGTCTAACAATGACAACGTTTGAGATGAAGTGTTGCTCAACATACACCAAGGACATCTCGGATCAACATACATCAAGGACAAATTAGGAAAAACCTTAGCTTAACTAACAGTGAAATAAAAACCGCAAGGGTTGAAAGGCTAAAATGGATAGCAGCAGACCTGTTTCATAGTAACTTGAGCGGTATGTTGCCATGAGATCGGATTATCAGGCTGATCCCAAATATCAGTGATGTTCACTTCCTCATCTTCGCCATAGATAACTTCTTCAAGCGTTTTCTCCTCATTAGCAGCAGGTTTTTCTTCCTCAGCAGGTGCAGTTACCGGTGAAGGTCGTTTCAAGTACATACTGCAAAAAAATCGTTTAATCTCATTGAAAGTGCATAAATGAAATCAAAAAATTGAAAGGAATATGACAAGTAACCATTCGGTCAGTCTGCAACATCCGATATTTTTAAAACTTTCGAAAACTGCCAATTTCTCAACCAAAAAATGCCAGTAAGTTGAAAATTCGATCGCAGTTAGCTGGGAGAAAAACCTCCCGAGGTTTTCTCAGGGCACGTCTTGGAAAACATTTGGCAACTTCCCCATTTGGCTGCATTTTGAGCCCGTTGCCTCAGTTAAATTACATGGGGATCTTTCCATCGCAACTGTAGAACCCACCCAGTACATTTTAAAACTATATTCATATGAAAGCCAAGTAATATAAGATAGCCAAGTGATAGATAATAGGTGGACGAAGCGAATAATAAAATGGTACCCGCGCACGATCAAGCGAACACTGGGGAGGCCATCAGTGAGGTGGAGAGACCCCATGGTATGCCTATACGGTGCCACATGGCCTCGAAGAATGCAACAACGAGTTGAATGGAGAAGTTGCCAGCATTGCATCGATGGCACGACAACGAACGTCGATGACATACAGTTGCTGCTCAAATAATCAAGTAACTAAGTATGGATGATAATCAATAAAAGTGCCGGAGCCTAAAAAACGAGAATCCCATATACCTGTTAATTTGAATAACATCACTGGACGGTTTTTGCAACTGTATAGCAATATTTGGTGCTGTTGCTGAAGAT